CAATTTTTAAAACAATCCCCCACATTTACCGGCTATGATACGGATGGTTGTGGGCACCGAAAAATCATTTTTCAACTCCCCACTCAGGTACCAACACAACACCACCCAAAACAACTCAACTCAAACTCCACACACCCAACACAACTCAACCCAAACTCAACACAACCCAACACAACACAATTCAACACAACTCACCATGATTCAACACAATTCAACATAGTCAACTCACTTCAACATAATCAACACAATTTTACATAACTCAACAAATAAACCCAACTCTCTTCAAACCCTAACCCCCAATCTCATGATTCATCACAATATGCGTAAAAATGTGAACTTTTGTATTTATATAAAGAAAATACCACAAATCTATCCATAAAAGAGGGTATTGAAAGAGAATTAGAAACCGCTACCTCTTGAAGCCAAGAGATGACGACCCAAACATCAATGGTGACGAAACCACGAACTCTTCGGACCAAAATGATGCCCTTGACGAGATCTACATTTTTTTTCAAAGGACCATGGTAACAAGATCACTCTAGGTGAGTAGATCTAGGGATCTTAGTGCCAAAACTTGAGTTTAGAGAGAAAGAGAGGAGAACTCACGGTTGAGAGAGAGGAAAGAGGAGAAAAGTGAAATGAAACCATGTTTGGAGCCTATTTATAGTGGTAGAAAAGTAACCCTAAGGTCAATAAAATAATAGGCCTAAAACCCCCCCAAAGGTAAGACCCAAACCAGCCTAAAAATCTGAAAAAAACATGCAGGGGTCGACCCTTTGGGCAGGAGGGTTGACCCTTTATGTAAAAAAGGCAATCTGGTACAAGCAAGGGGGTCGACCCTTTGACAGGAGGGGGTTGACCCTGTTTTCTAACAACTAACATAGAAATTCCACAACATAAGAGGGTCGACCCTCTCCCAGACTGGTGTTTACCCTATTTTCCAGCAACACCCCCAGAAACTTCACCAACAAGTAAGGGTCGACCCTTAGGAAGGCTGGTGTCTATCCTATTTTCTAGCGACATCTCCAGAAACATGACAACATGCAAGGGTCGACCCTTAGGAAGGCTAGTGTCGACCCCAAGGCAAAATTTCTAAGTTTCTAAGGAACTTTTGACAAGAACAAACGCGAACGAATAAACCCAACGAGTCTAAATCGGATTATACTCCTTCAAAACCAATAGACAATAACTCCAAAGACTTCCAAGATAAAAATAAGGATATTAAACACACTCTCCAAAGGATTAAAGGATACGGGCGTTACAATTACTCATTAATTTTTTCAATTTGTATTAACTTATCTCTTGATCATTTTCCTAAAATTCTTTTTCTTTCTCATCTCTCTCTCTCTCTAGAAAATACCACCATTGTAGCAATGGCCATGGCCATCCACCCGCAACCACCATTGTCATCCGTCACTAACCACCGCCACCTCCACCAGTCACCACCACCACCTTCGCCAGCCACTACCACCACCATTGTTCACTAACCATCTCCACTGTCGCCGATCTATACTTCACTATCTCTCAACCCTTTGACTCGCTCGCTTAATATTATTGTCTTCCTTCATTTTTTGCCATTACTGTCGTTTTCCTCCATCCTCCATCCTTCATCTGCCATCACTGTCATTCTTCTTCAATCATCAATCCACCATCTTCAACATCGAACTTCACCAATGGCTTCAAATCTATTTATTTTCAATGTCGATCTACCATCTTCAACGCCAATTTGGTACTTTACATGGCTACCGATGAGATTGAGACTCTTTCTACAGTGTGTTGGTGAAGATCTACATTTGTAAAACATGTTGAACTAATCTGATGAATTTATCACTGATTTATTTAATATGTTGTGGACTGCTGCTGTTGGAATTTTGATATTACTACAATGATAAATTTATCACTGATTTTTGTTCATATTATATTTATCACCTCCCTCTTCCTCACTCCCTCTCTCTCTTTTTATTTCTCTTAAACCAAATCTACCGTATCAGTGATAAACGTATCACATATATTTCTTTGAATCTTGTGTTGATTTGTGACGATAATGACTAGATTTTTTTATTTTTTTTAACAAACTAGTGAGAAATTTATTAGTGAATGTGTTTATCACTACTAAATTTATTAATGAATATGTCTTTTAATCTTGCGTTAATTTGTGACAATGATGATGAGATTTTCTTTTTGTAATTTTTTAACAAACAGTTAGTGATAAATTTATCATTTTTGTCACCAGAGAGAGATGAATATGAAGTATGATTAATCTATCATTGATTTGTTGAATATGTTGTATATTGTTACTGATTTTATATTTATACAATGATGAATTTACCACTAATTTGTCATTGTAGATGTGAATATATTGGATGGATCAATCTATTGGTGATAAATTTATCACTGGAAAGAGGACAAAGAGCAGATGGTAAAGGCATGGTTATGTTGATCTATGACACAAAGGCTAACAATTTTCTACTAAGACCTTTCCTTTTCTCTCTCCTCTCTTTCTCTCTCCTCTCTCTCTCTCTCTTACACACACACACACACACACACACACACACACACACATTCTTCTTCATCTTCTTCTTCTTCTTCTATTGCCATCAGATCTTAGGAGATAGTGACAATAGTGAGCACCGAAGGTTGCTGAAGGTTATCACCGGCGGTTGGAAGTACTCATCGATAGCTAGATGTGGGAGGTGGTAGGTCATGGCAGTGATTTGAAAGGTGAAAAATGAGCAGCATTTACAGGTAAATAAATTTGGTCAACAGGACCGGCCTGTAAGTCCCCCATTATAGAATGCGCTGTGTTAGGAAAGACTATTTCAAACCCAGTCAACTCAGCCCTCTCACAAACTATATTATACAATATATATTTTTAAATAAAACATGCATATGCATGTTTTATATTGTTTGTTTTTAGTTTTATTAGCATAAATTATGTATTACTAATTATGTAAAGAAAAATGTTTGGGAGCTCTAAATTGGGAGCACTAAAGGAGCTCTAGAGAGTGGGTCCCACTGACTGATGTGATGTTTTGGCTTTAAGTTTTTTTTTCTTTTTCTTTTTTTGAATTTCCACCTCATTAGTGGTCCATTAATGCTTCCAAATTAGTGGGATGTATCATTGTTGTTATGTAAATAATTATTTATAAAATGTGAACTACTAATTTTGTTTGAATAGGTTAAAGAGACACACAAATAATTAAATTAATTATAACTCATTTTAAAATAAAAAAAAAAATTTATATTAAACAATATCCGGCTATGTGGGTGGATTTGAAATTTTTATTTTGTTTTTGGCTGGATTCAGAAATAAAGCATAAGCCCGATCCGGAGGGGCAAAGTTTGGTAAATGACTCTAAATGTTATTAAGTAGTATATGGGCCGGCTTGAATGGCAGAAAATTTTAAATTAAAAGTATTTCAAAATAGAAAATAAATTTAAATATTTTTATTATTGCCTAATTAAGAATTTTTTACATCAGCCGTTTAATTAGAGGCAAATTGATTTAGCATTCATAGGGCTGTTGGCAAATGGAGCCAAAGTTGAAATACAATTACAAAGACAAATACAACCTTATCTTCAACTTTTATTCTTTTCGAAATTAATATAAATAATTGTGTGTGCAATTTAAATAAGTAATATATATATATATATATATATATATATATATATATTAATCACAAAGAGTCTGTCGCAAATGCAATTTAAGTAAATAAAAACAATAAATAATATATTAAAAAAAAGTGAAGACACGCATATTGTGTGTCACTCAAGTCTTCTTTATTAAATTAAAGATGTTGGTTGATAATTTTTCTCCTCCATGACTCCCCAACCACCTCACCTTCAAATAATTATTGAAATTCACATTTTCTAATAAAAAAATATATGATAACATTTTTTGGGTCTCTTTGCTTTGTTCTTTATGAACGATACAAATTAAAAATATTCATAATTATTACTAAAGTGCTTGGCCGGTCCTGAGTATTCAAAGTCTATAGAGTCTTAATATTTTTATACATTACTTAAAAAGATAAAATTAATTAAGAAAATTATTATAAAAATTATAAAAAATAAAATCTAGTACTGTTTTATTTTTAACCATTTATACATGCACAAAGAAAATATTACACAAAAATCTAGAGTTATAACATTAAAGTAAAATTGAACTAGTTGTACCACATCATCACAATCTAGAGTTATTATTCTTGAATTTTTAGTTGCAAAATTAGACCAAAAGCCCTTTATTGAGAATGAATTAATTATACTATTTTTTTTTCTTTTTCATATACAGATATATAATTTCTAGGAAGTATAATTAAATAAACAATGCTATATATCCACAAGTCAACAAGCAAAAATCTAATCAAATTCCAAAGATTTTAATATTTAAGTAAATTTAACAAACAATTGAAGTAGAAGTTGAAATGGTACAAAATCTGAAGGCATCTGGAGAGAATATCAAAACCTAAGAAAGTTCAATTTTCGAATGGTGAATTGGATTGAATAGAAGTTTGTTAAAGTAAAATCAATTACTTTGGGCTCTCCACTAATAAAATAATTTTATTTTTGGACTTAAGTTCTATTAAGCGTTAAACTTATTTTGATAAGTAAAGTAATTGAGGTCCTCTACTAATAAAAACAGTTTTGTTTTTGAGTTTAGTGTTGGGGCTTTCTATTTAATTGAGGTCTAACAAAAAAATAAATAACTGGGTTAAATATTGTAAGAATTTTTTTCTAAATGGATATTTTTTTTTAGTCCAAACCTAGCGGGTCAAAGTGGCCATTTTGCCGGCATGCTCATGAGCCGGCCATGCAATATACTTGGCAAAAAAAGTAATTCACCAAAACACAGCCATACATTTCTTTGCTCAATGGGGCTTCCAAGCTTAAGCTCGAGCATGTCATGGCTAGTACACAATTTGCATATTCATCTAATACTCTTATGTTGTTTGAGCATTCTCAACTCTGGCTTTACTGCTACCACATCCAGCTCCTGGCTAATGGGGAACGAGATGGACCGACTTTCATTACTAGCAATCAAAGCCAAAATAGTTGAGGATCCACTGCATGTTTTGAGCTCTTGGAATGACTCTATCCACTTCTGCCAATGGCAAGGCGTTACGTGTGGCCGCAGGCATCAGAGGGTCACCGCCTTGGACTTACAGTCCCGGGAACTGGTGGGATCGATATCACCACACCTTGGGAATTTAAGCTGTCTGACGGAATTACTGCTTCAGAACAATAGCTTTGTCAATGAAATTCCCCCGGAAATTGGCTGTTTGCCAAGGCTGCAGATTTTGCAGCTGAACAACAATTCAATTGGTGGCCGAATTCCAGTAAATATATCTCGTTGCACTAACCTCATTGAAATCGATTTTTCTTACAATAGGCTGGTAGGAGAAGTTCCTGTGGAGCTCAGATCCTTGTCGAAGCTTGTGGTAGTAATTATAGAGGCCAACGATCTTACAGGGAGTATCTCTCCTTTCGCGAATTTGTCATCTCTTCGCGGACTGTCTTTATATGATAACAAGTTTTATGGCAGCATTCCTGATGGTTTTGGTCAATTGAAGAATCTTCAGGAGCTCGTACTCAGCGCGAACATGTTGTCTGGTGCCATCCCTCCTTCGCTCTTCAACCACTCTTCTCTCACAGTGTTTGATGTCAATACTAACCAAATACAGGGAAGTCTTCCCTGGGACTTGGGCATCACTCTTCCCAATCTTGAATTCTTCAGCATTGGTTACAACCAATTTACAGGATCAATTCCGGTTTCAATATCGAATGCATCTAAACTCCATGACCTAGAAATGTTTGAAAACAACCTTACTGGAAAGGTTCCTAATTTAGCGAGGCTGCAAAACCTCGAGTGGCTAAGCATTTCCGACAATCGGCTTGAATCCGAGGAACATAATGACTTGAACTTTATATCTTCTTTGATCAATGCCACCAATTTAAAGGTTTTGGGCGTGAATATTAACATGTTTAACTTCAAGTTGCCAGAATCCATCGGTAATCTCTCGAGTAATCTTCAACTTTTGTATCTAGACGACAATCAGATATTCGGAAGCATTCCACCTGGGATTGTAAATCTTGTTGGCTTGCAGAGTTTGCATATGGATCTTAACCAACTCACTGGTGCTATTCCAAGTGAGATTGGAAAGCTTCAAAATCTACACGAATTGAATGTCTTCAACAATTCATTGTCTGGTAACATTCCATCTTCCCTAGGAAATCTCAGTTTGTTAAGTATACTTGTTTTAGGACTAAATAATTTTCAGGGAAACATTCCTCCGAGCCTAGGGAATTGTAGTGATTTGCAAAAGTTGGATCTTTATCAAAACAACCTTAATGGTACCATACCAAAACAAGTTGTTTCTATCTCATCCTTATCTGTATATCTAGACCTATCCCAAAACCAATTGAGTGGTTCTCTTCCCATGGAAGTTGCAAAGTTGATAAACCTTGGTTACTTGGATGTCTCTAAGAACCTATTATCAGGTGAAATTCCGAGCACTCTGGGTAGCTGCACAAGCCTGGAAACGCTACGTTTGGGGAACAACTTTTTCAACGAAACCATTCCTTCTTCTTTGAGTTTCTTGAGAGGCCTTAGTGATTTGGATCTCGCGAATAATAGCTTGTCTGGTGAAATTCCAGTGTACTTGGAGAGCTTTATTTTGTTACAAAATTTGAATCTGTCCTTTAATAATTTTGAAGGTGTAGTACCAACACAAGGTGTATTTAGTAATGCAAGTAAAATATCAGTAGTGGGAAATAGTAAGCTCTGTGGGGGGGTAGCTGAATTGAAGCTACCTAAATGCAACTTCAAAGAGCATGAAAATAGGAGATCAAACAGTTCCTTAACTTTAGCACTCTCTATACCCTTTGGGGTTGTAGGACTAGCTCTCATGGGGTGTGTTTGCAAAATTTGAATCTGTCCTTTAATAATTTTGAAGGTGTAGTACCAACACAAGGTGTATTTAGTAATGCAAGTAAATTATCAGTAGTGGGAAATAGTAAGCTCTGTGGGGGGGTAGCTGAATTGAAGCTACCTAAATGCAACTTCAAAGAGCATGAAAATAGGAGATCAAACAGTGCCTTAACTTTAGCACTCTCTATACCCTTTGGGGTTGTAGGACTAGCTCTCGTGGGGTGTGTTCTCTATCTTTGCCAGTTCAGAAATAGAAGAAAAGAAACTCCTTCAGATTCATCAAAAAATTCACTCTTGAGGGTGTCTTACCAAACTCTTGTTAAAGCCACTGATGGCTTCTCATCTTTCAATTTAATCGGTGTTGGTAGTTTCGGGTCTGTGTACAAAGGAATTATTGATGGAAGAATTGTCGCTGTGAAGGTACTCAACCTTGTGCGACATGGAGCTTCGAAGAGTTTTGTATCCGAATGTGAGGCCTTGAGAAACATCAGACATCGAAATCTTGTCAAAGTGCTAACAGCATGTTCAACAGTAGATTATCAGGGTAATGACTTCAAGGCCCTGATTTATGAGTTCATGGTCAATGGGAGCCTTGAGGAGTGGTTACATCCAAATCCCAATGAAGATTTATCAAATGAAGAGTTTAGGAAGTTAAATCTTTTTCAAAGACTAAATATAGTCATTGATATTGTTTGTGCACTAAATTATCTTCACAACCAAGGTCAAACACCAATAGTCCACTGCGATCTTAAGCCAAGCAACATTCTTCTGGACAAAGATATGACTGGGCATGTAGGTGATTTTGGATTAGCAAAATTCCTAGGAGCCCATGCCACCCATGACTTATCTACAAGTGAAACAAGATCTATTGGCATAAGGGGAACAATAGGTTATACTGCTCCAGGTGAATATGCTTTCATTTATTCTTAATTGTTTTGTTTACCAAAAAGTGTAAAGAAAATTGCATGTGTGATTTGGGCAACACATTATTTTTTCTATGCACAGATCTTTGACTTTTTCTATTTCTGAAGCATTTCTGTCTTTTATATCCAATATTTTGTCTTGCCCTTTACAAATGCATTTTGCTTGCAGAATATGGTATGGGAAGTGAGGTCTCAGCATATGGTGATATATACAGCTTTGGTATCCTCGTGTTAGAAATGTTTACTGGGAAGAGACCCACTGATGAAATATTTAAAGATGGTTTAAGCCTCCATAGCTTTGTCAAAGAGGCTTTGTCTGGCAGTATATCAGAGATTTCAGACCCAATACTTTTTCAAACCGAAGGAGAAGAAGAAGAAAACTTCATAAGGGGTGAAAGGATGTTGGAGTGCTTGAGTTTGATACTTGAAATTGGAGTCAATTGTTCTTCAGATTTGCCTAGAGAAAGAATGGAGATTAATGATGTTGCATCTAAATTGCATTTCATCAAAGACACTCTTTTAGGATCTGAAATACATTGAAAGAGATGAATTTTTATGGGGTAATCAATTGGAATGTAATATTTTTGTATTAATAATCTCCTTTCTGGAAGAGATTACATGTTTAATAACAACCTTACTTTCACATTGATGAGCCAACTGTACATTGTAGATTTTCCCATTCAAAAAGTGTTAGAATTTGAAATGTGTAGATATGATTTATTTTGAGCGTGATTCATTTACACCAAATTTAAATCTACACCACGAATTCAAAAATTATATATGTTTTTAATATTTTTTCTTAGTACATAACATCAATCATGCACATTTTACTTCATTTTTGAGTTGGATTAATTACATTTTTCCTAGTTTGTGTCTTGTATCATTTTGGTCATTGATATTCTAAATGTGTCAATTTGATTTCCAATCCGTTTCCATTTAAAATTAATAATGGAAGTAAGGGCATTTTCATCAAATTACATTTAAATATCAGCAAAAAAAAAAATAAAAAATGTGTGATTAGTTTCATTTTGCTCCCCGATGTTTTCAATTGTGTCAATTTAATCCTTAACTTATTTAGTGTCATAGGTGATTTGATAAAAATGTTCTCACTTCCGTTATCAATTATAGGCAAAACAAAATTAATAAATTGAAACATTTAAAACATTTAAAACATTAGAGATTATTTGTGCAAAACATAAGAGACGCACTAAACTGTTGGAAACTAACGAGCTCTGGTGCATTTTGCACAAGACTTGGGGGAGGAGATTACATGCTGTTTTGGGTTAATTACACTTATGATTCTATAAATAACAACAATGATACATCTCTCTAAATTAATAAGCTCTAATGACCCAAAAAAAAAAAACGCAAGACACAAACATCATTATCACTAATTCAACACCACTAATGACATGACGTCATGTGGACCCCACTGTTGATATGATAGTTGGCCTTTGTTTGTTTGTTTGTTTTTTTTTTTCTTGCACTTGCCAGCTCATTAGTGATAATTTTAGAGCTGTTGATTTAGTCCTTTAAATCGGAACTGTACACACACACACACACACACACACATATATATATATATTTAGGCTAAATTACATTCATGTCACTTTAGTTTTCTTAATTTTAATTTAAATAATTTGATCTATATATTTTTAATTTTGTTACAAATGTGATTCCTCCATCATTTACTATAAAAATTTGAAAATAAAAAGATTATGTGCACCAAAGCCCGGTGGTCCTTTTAGTTTGTTTGAAATTTCATTTTGATTCATCTAATTTTACACATGATTTTTTTCTATTCAAATGTTAATCACACATGACAGATAGATCACATTATAATAAAATTCAAAGTGTAGAGATTAAATTATTCAAACTAAAATTACGATGACCAAAGTAAATTTGGTTCAAAATAAAGGAACCGATATAATTTACCTTTTTTATTTTTATTTTTTTTTAAACTGCAATTCTATTCTGATTTATTCACTTATAATTGTGGGCAGAAGAAAGAATTTCCCCAAAATCTTACACTGTTTGGTCTGTGTTTAGACTGAAACAATAATAAACCAATCCCTTTCCATTTTTCCCCATTTTATTACCTTCTTCCTTTTCTCCATCAATCCGCAATAATAAACCAATCCGCAATCGAACGACCATATAGCCACCATTGCATTACCATCAGATCTCGTCAAACCAAAATGGGTAAAATTACATTATTTTTTTGTTTCGTTTTTGGATCAGGGTAAATTACATGATTGGTGCCCTTTAATTTGAGCAAAATTTGACTTTGATCATTGTCCTTACATTTTCTTAATATTTTAAACGGGAAAAAAAAAAAATTTCAGTGCAAAAACTTAAAAAAAGCATAATATAATTAAAAATGCATACTATATTTATAGTGTTCGTTGAGGTAGTTATAGTTTTGCACGTGCAAAATTCTAATGGGACAATTCGGTGACAAAATTCAAAATATAAAATATAAATTATTCAAATTAAAATGAGAAGATTAAAGTCATACTTGGTTTAAACTTTAGATATTACTAGTTTGGATAAATTATACTTTGCACCTCTGCATTTTATATCTAATCTCAATTTAGTCCCTACACATGAAATCATAACAATCAATTCCCTTCATTTCTAGTCAAATCCTACTTTAGTCCCTACATATGAACTGTTTGAACTTTTTTTTGAACTGTTTGAATCTTTTCCTGGTTGACCGGTTGGTCAACCGGCTGGTTGACCGGTTGGTATCACCCCAACGGTCAGTAACAGTGATTTTGTGAAATGCTTCGCATGTTCTCAGTTTGATGAAATGTTTGGTGAAATCTCATTTTGATATCGATTTGGTGCAACCGTTGGAGCATCAAACAATAACTTTTTCACCAAATTTTAAATTTGATGCTGGGTTTGATGAACCGTTGGAGATGGTCTAATATAATTAAAAATATATACTATATTTATAGCGTTCATTGAGGTAGTTATAGTTTTGCACGTGCAAAATTCTAACGGGACAATTCGGTGACAAAATTCAAAATATAAAATATAAATTATTCAAATTAAAATGAGAAGATTAAAGTCATGGTTTAAACTTTAGATATTACTAGTTTGGATAAATTATACTTTGCACTTCTGCATTTTATATCTAATCTCAATTTAGTCCCTACACATGAAATCATGACAATCAATTCCCTTCATTTCTAGTCAAATCCTACTTTGGTCCCTACATATGAAATCGTGACATTCAATCCCTTGCACTTTTATTCAAATCCCGCCTTGGTCCCTACATAAGTGTCAACATTCCTCTTCTATAACTTCATTTTTAAATCTTTAACAAAATCTAATCATGTTTCCTACCTATACAATTTGTTCTACGTGATAAGCACATGAGAGTTATAATATATAAATATGTGTGTGTGTGTGTGTTCGTATGATAAAAATTGAAACGAAAAGGGAAAATTACCAACACCCCTTCTCGAGATTTGACAAAAATACGGATTCTTCCCTGAGGTTTGAGAAGTTATATCTCGCCCTTAAGATTTATATTTGCATAACAAATTGCCCCCTCATTTGTTATTCAAATATATACCTCAGTGGGCAATTTGTAATTTTCCAAATCTCAGAGAGAAATTTGTATTTTAGTCAAACCTCGAGAAGGTGTTAGTAATTTGCCCAAACGAAAATGTAAGAAATAGAGCTTTTGAAATTTTTTTTAAAAAAAAATTCAACAAAGAAATAAAAGAGAAAGATATATAGAAGACAGAAAACTGTGTTATTGTGAAAAATAGAGTTTCGTGATTCTAATTTATGCAAAATTTTAGTTCATTTTCTTAATTGTTCACAATCTACGTTTTACAGTCATATTTTCATGTAAATTTTGGGATAAAATGTGTATTAGTGAAAAATATAGATGATTTTCCTTACCCTCATGTCGTAGTCACATTCTTATCACATAACTAGATTCTGTTAAAGATTTAAACAATTGAGTAACAAAAATGGGATATTGACACTTGTATAGGGACCAAAGTCAGATTTGACTAAAAGTACAGGGGTTGGTTGTCACAATTTCATGTGTAAGTATCAAAGTGAGATTTAACCAGAAGTATAAAAGGTTGACTGCCATAATTTTATATGTAAGGGTCAAAGTAAAATTTGGTACAAAGTGTAATTTACCCTAGTTTAATTTACGCACCAAAAACCTTCCCTGTTTTCTTTACTTTTTTTTGGCTGGTTCAAAAAACTAATGCATGTGCAACCATTAAGACCTTGTTTAGTTTACTTATATTTATTTATTTTTAGAAAGTCCTGAACTTTTAAACTACTTGTCTAATTATCTTGTATTTTGAGAATATTATGGTAATGTTAATCTTGTGGCTGCAATTCTTGTTGTTTTTTGTTTTGTTTTGTTTTGTTTATTTATTTATTTATTATCAAGTTTCCATTATTTAGTTGCATGGTATTCTTTACCCTTTTATGGTTACATGAACTCAAATCACACAAGTGTATTTTATTACCATTCTCATATGGACTAAATGGGAAATAATGTGGGAAGATAAAAGTACAATCATAATCCTCTTCCTTCTTGAATGAGTGTTGTTCACCATTTCTCACAGCTTTGACAAGCATCAAGCTTCGTTGTCCTGTAATTTAATTACTAAAAAGCTAAAATGAGATGTCAGGGAATAAATATAAACTCATTCCCGTAATTCATGCAGTTCAAGCAGACAAAAGCATTATTGATTATTTGAATCACCATAAATAGTATGTTAGATTACCTACAGAGGCATGGTGGGCAATATTTTTAGAATAATGTTATACAAATAAATAAATAAAAATTGAACAAAAAAATAAAAATAAATACAGAATGGCCTGACAAGTGTTGATATTATTACTTTAAATATTGCATTCTATACAAAAACCTTTAAGAATATAATTTTCCATATTAAGAAAATCGGATTGTTTTCAATTGATATTTTTTGATTGGAAAAGACTAAGCTCATTTGAAATCTCACACTAGATAACATGCCATGCTTGCTCCCCCTTATCGTCCAATTATCTACACATTGTCCTGTTAACAAGGACAAACTGTTGGAACAATCTTCTGTCTAAATAAAATAAATTGAAACTAAATCAACCAAAATAAAATAAATAACTTACAAAATTTATTTTATCGAACCGAATGGAAAATTAAAAGACCAAGTCAAGTGTGTGATACTCTGTCCTTAAGACAAATTCGCCCCGCTATGGTGCTTACGGTTGAGTGGCATCTATCTCTCAGGATACAATGATTTTCACAAATTTATAGTAGCACTCCAAACAAATTTGTCCGGCGAACTAGAACCTTGTGTTCTAATACTCTCTTTAATTTTCTCTAAAACTAGAATAAAGATTATAAATGTAAAGGAGCAAATAGAATAGCAAAATGAATTTTTTCTGACTGTTTTTCAACCTTAGAACATTGCTGGAAATGTTGGTATGTATAGGCATACAAAGGCTGTCCGAACAGGTAAGTTTCTGTAACTTCAACAGATACTAAACTCTTGAACAGATTTAGTATGGAAACTGGACAGATCTACAACTGTACAGATTTTGAATCTGTCTAGAATTTCAACAGATTGAAAACATGTCTGGACAGAATTTACTTGATGTTTTGATCAACCAAAATCTGCTGGAA